TCTGTGGTAGAAAAGGGTAACACAGGCAACCGAAAATGCGAAGCGAGCTATAATCCGATTGTTTGTTATAAAGCATATGAAATGGATAGTACAACTTATTTGAAATGGATGGCAGGAGATTGATAAGATGTACCGCAGTTTGAACAGCATGCAACCAGAATTTTTGAGGAAGGTTAGCATGAAATAAAAGAGCACGTGTAGTCTCTATAATATGCCGATGCTTCCTTTTAGCTAACCCATTTTGTTCTGAGGTATAAGGACATGTTAGTTGGTGAATAATTCCAGCTTTGGCAAGTAGCAATTGAAATTGTTTAGAGACATATTCACCGCCACTGTCAGATTGAAAAAAACTTAATTTTAGCATCGAATTGGCGTTCAACTAATTATTGAAAGTTAGCAAAAATTAACGGTACATCAGATTTAGCAGTTAAAGGAAATAACCAACAGAAGCGAAAAAAATCATCAACAAGGATGATATAATATTTATAACCTTGTAAGGACAAAGTAGGGGAAGGACCTCATACATCACTGTGAATTTACTGAAGAACAGTGTTAGAATGAGGCATAGAAGGACTGAAAGAAAGCTTATGACTCTTTGCAAAATCACAAGCATTATAATTAAAAGACGAAGATAAGAAAGGGACATAGGAGAAAATAAACTTTTGCAATTTAAGTAAGACCAGATAGGAAGGATGTCCGAGACGCCGATGCCAAAGAGACTTCGTGGTAGAAACAACAACCATTGCAGTGTTGGAAGCAACAGGTTTAGTGGAGATTGGATAGAGTCCACGACGAGCTGGGCCTTAAAGAAGGATTTGATTGATCTTCGTATCCTTAATAGTATAACCAGAGGAATCAAATAAAATTGAACAATCATTGTCAGTGATTAGTTTGTGTAGAGAAAGAAGATTATGATGAAGGGTGGGAAAAAAGTGAAGAGAGTTGAGTTGAAGCTTACGATAAGGAGTGTGTAATAGTCCTTTACCAGTTTGCGTAATAGGAAGTTGATCACCATTCCCAATCATGACTTGTTGCTGGCCAGTATAATTCTGCGGCTCATATAGTTGGGTAATATCAAGCATTAAGTGAGATGTAGCACCGGTGTCTAAAAGCCACTCGGTTGGCTGATTGTATGTTGTAGCAGTATTCGCCTGAATTGGAGGGGGCAGAGAAAAATCAGCTCTATACCAACATTTGTATGCCGAATGACCTGTTTTACCGTAAATCTGGCAATCCACTGTGGGATTTGAATTTGGTCCAGATCGAGATGAACCTCTTCCTTGAGTCGATCGTGCACCAAAACGACCATGATAACCACGGCCACGTGCTCTACCATGCTGAGCATACATAGTAGGAATATTTTATGACGGAGATGATAAAGACAACTCACGAACATACTCATCAGCAAGGTTCAACTCTTCACTGCACAACAGTGAGTAAAAATCATCTAAAATAATAGGATTTAAATTCGTTCGAACGACAATTTTAAATACTTGATATTGGCTCAACAATCCATTGAGAGTGTAATAGATAATGTCCTCCGATGGTAACGACAAACCAGAAGCTCCAATTTCGTCGACTTTACTTTTAATTTTAGATAAGTATTGCATTATACTCTTATCCTTCATTGTAATATGATGTAGCTCATTTTTAAGTTGAAGGATGCGTGATCTATTGGTGGATTGCAATCGGCACTCAATAGTCTCCCAAATTTCAGAACACGAGTTCAGATTTAAAAAAATAAGGAAGAAAGGTTTGGGAAATGGTTGAATAAAGCATTGCAGCCAAATTCTGATCCACAAGAAGCCAAGTACAATAATCACTGTTTAACTACATATTACCATATTCTGATTGGACAATTTTAGGAGGTTTAGATGTAGAGCCATCCAAGTAGCCATCAAAGCCATTTACGGTGAAAAAATTGAGTATCTGTGATTTCCACAAGGGATAGTTATCGGTAGTGACCTGAATGTTGAGAACTGATTTAACATTCGTCATGAGAAACTTCAACTGAGAAGGAATTGGTGTGTTTGCCATTTTTACGATTTTGGCTCCTGTAACAGAGGTAGAAGTAGGAGAACTTGTTGATGAAGCCATCTAGGTTGAGAAAGAAAATCAGAGAAATCGACAAGGGTTGACAGTCGTTCAGAAAAAATGAGCAAAAAAATTTGGCTTTGATACCATGTTAAAATCTGCAATAGGCGTTAACCTGCAGAAGAGAAAACAAAGAAAAGCAGAGAGGAAGAAGAAGCTGATTACGTGAAATTCATCCCCTCCTCTTTCATTACTGTAGCTCTCTATATATTTACATGTAGCTCATGATTACACTGTAAAGTAAGTGGACACATGGACGGTCCAGATTTGACCGTTAATGATCAATGGTGAGAAATCTTTGCACGATCAGGTCTAGGAAAACTACAGCACATGGGATGATGAAAAATGGGATGCTTAATACTTATAGGTTTGCTTAATAATACTTAGGGGGTCATTGAGTAGTTTAGCTCTTTTAATTTGAGTTTAAACTTAATTAATTGAACTCAATTCTATTACTCACGAGGTAAATCATTTATGATGAAAGAAAAAGTTTATATATTTTAAATTAAAATAATTATTATAATAAAATGATAATGAGAAATGTTTTCTTATTGTTTTCTAAAAACAATTTTTAATGCAAAAATTTCTAATTCTAAAAATTTTTATTAAAAAAATTGTCCCAAATAAAACCTAAGACTTAAGTTTTGTTTGGGACGGCTTTTTTACTGCTTTCTAAAGCAGTTTTTTAGTATCAAAATTTTATTTTTTATACTAAAAAAATGATTTAAGAAATGATTTAAGAAGCAATAAAGAGCCTTCTCAAACGAAGTCTTATATTACCACTGTTTTTTCACTACTTTCAATAAAATTCTATATTAAAAATATGTTTTCTACAACAACTTTAAAAAAAATTACTTTCTAACAACAACTCTATAATCACCTTTGTAAAAAAATTATATTCATCCCAAAAAATCTTAAATTTATAATAAAATAATAAATCAAATCTTACATGTGCAATGAAAATGAAAGCAATATCACTCAAATTAATGCTAAGGCATGACGAGTAGCCTACCGATCACATCAAAATAATCTTTATCAGAACATTCACAACAAAGAAAGCCAAAAAGGTTAAATTTCCATTTAATTCTTCAATCCTCCTCCCTGCGCTTCTCAATTGGTTCAGAATTTTATTGTTGGCTATCAGTGGGCTCTCGAGCATATTAGGCAGATGGTCACTTCGATTCCTATTTTGGAGCATCCGGCTGTTGCCTGAGATGGCTCTAATCTTCTTTTTTTTGGGACATTTAGGCCATTTAAGGCAAACACGCACACACAACGTATACACAAAGACTCAAATCCAAAACCTCTTAGTTGGAAGCCTAAGCTCTCAACCAACAGGCCAAGTTGAGTTGTGTAACCTTCCTGTTTTTAAGTTCTTCACATCCCATTTTAATGAACATTTTGAGGAGGTGCCTTGGTTTAAATATGTCTGGCACAAGCAGCACTCCTTGTGGTATTCTGTTTATGTCTGGAAGGCGGTTCTTGGGAAGCTTAAAACATCAGATTTACTTATTCGAAGGTCTATTGATATTCAGCCGGAGTGCTGTTTTTGCCAGGCTACTTTTGAATCTCACTACCATATCTTTTTTGAATGTGACTTCCCATTTTTGGTGATCTAATCCTCTTGTCTCTTTTGGATTCATTCTTGATAAGGCCTAATCTACTACAAGTCTTTTATTTTATGGAGAATATTTTACATTTGAAAGCCTGGGAGAAAAGGTTATGTTTCTTAGTGATTTGCTACTCTATCTATTACATTTGGAGGGAAAAAAACAATCAGAAATTTTCTGGTTCTTGGGAGTTCCCTCCAAAGGTTATTTTCACTATTAAGAAAGCTATCAGATTCAAAATTAAGAACTGGAAATTTTTTGATCAGATTCTGGAAGGGTTTTGGTTTTTGGGAATGACCGGACTAAGATGATGGTGGCCCTTCCTTTGCCATCTTTATGGTTGGATTGCCTTTTGGCAACCACTGTTCTGTCATTCTGGATGGCTTCGCAGGCGAGTCTTCGGCATTGCAGTTCCTCGTGCCAACCTATTTTTGCTTCGGCTGGCCATGTGGCAGCCTGAGATCTTTGTTGGCTTACTCTTTCACCATTGCTATTTCACTGATTTCTGGTGTTTGTTTTGGGTAGGACTGCCACCATTCTGAGTCCGGGTTGTTTTGGGTTTCCTCTCATCTCTACCGGTTTTGTTTTTGACAATTTGAGTTTCTTTAGTATTTTGGGCTTTTCTTTTCTCTTTATAGGTTTTTTCTTTTTATGTTATAATTGTTTTTCTTATTAATACAAGAGCTCTGCCCTAAATTAAAAAAAAAAAATTAACAATCAAACATTACATTTGATTATGAGTAGCATCGAAAATTACTACAAAACTGCAAAACAGCTGACTCTGCAAAAGATCTCAATAAAAACAAAAAACAATCAAGCAGGGGACAATTCAAGCTTCTTATTTTTAAGATGAACAAAATTTTAATTAGTTATACAACAAAATAATAATAATAATAATAATATAACATCAAACAATAAAAATAATAAAATAAATTAAAAAATAGCCAACATAATGCTATCAAAATTAATTTTAGTAATAATATAAGTTAGAGTAAAAAAAAAACTATTGCGCTTTTTAGTAATAATATAAGTTGCTACGAGAAATGGCGATCTTCAATTTTGTAGGCCGAAAGCTGCATGCAATTCGCCAACACTGAAGAGTAAACGTTTGGAACTTCAAACTTCAGATGGATGGACAAACAAAGTCAGATGAGTCATATTAGGATAATTTTTTTTTTTGGAGGAACATAATTCTAAAATTACCCCTCTCAACATTAAAAAAATTTTTGAGGGTGGTCATTTGCCCACCCTAAACTTAGTGGGTGATCCGCCCATGCAATCAAGAAACAATTCGAATTATAAATATTTAATTGTCTGATGATACTATAAAAAGTATAATTTTTGCAAGTCAGAAGAACATCTAAAATGAAAATTTGCAAAATATGCCAGCAGCAGATCCAAAATGACAACAATTTCCATCTTTTACAATGGAAAAGATGTACTTTTACATAACATAAAAAGGCTACCTGAACTCAATTTTGAACAAGAAATATTGAACTCTGCAACGCCTCTTATTCATGAAGCGTCCCCAGGATGTCATCATCTCTGTAGAGGTGGTAACTACAAAAGTTCCAAATGATTAACATTAGCTACAATCTAACGACATAAATAAATTCTGGGAAGCAATTTAAGGAAAAAATAAAAAGGGCAGACTAATAACAGCATTTTCTTACAGTTCTAATCTTCTCTTCAATCCTTTTCAGTTCAATATGTTAATGTAATTTGTAGCAAGATCACTTGATCGGCTTATGTCATTAGTTTATATCCACAGTCTAAGAAATTTAGTTTTAGATAACAAATATTAGAGAAGTTTTCTTAATATTATGAAAAGAATTAAATGATCATCAATTATATTAAAGGACTATTTTGATCTCTTTAGTCTTTTAAAAGAAATTAAAATAGTTTCATGATGGGACTATTTTAGTATGTCTTTAAGAAGTTTTGAGATATCAAAATGATCATTCAATATAGTTAGGGATTACTTTTGATATTTCATAAAGAGTCTGAGGAATTATTTTGATCATTTTCTCTTTAGACAAAAGTGAGGTTAGACCATCTCTAGTTAAGCATTTACTAATTGACAATTTCCACAAGAGTAGCATCTGAAAACCAAGCATCATCTCTATCCGGAATACTAATTACAGCTATCACTGTCCAAAATAGGTTAAACCTAATGAATTTCCACCAATAATTCATTTGAAAAGACATAAAAAGTAGATTTAATGCCAAAATATGACAAACAAGGAGAATGAAAATTTGCCTAAACCTTTTTATTATGTCACGACCCGGCCTGGCTAGCCCGAAATAACGGGGCGGGAAAAGACGATCGTACGGAGAACACTTATTTCATATCATAAAAATTTCATTTTAGAAGCATTTATAGGACCCATAGGAAACAGTTTTGTGAAAGCTCTTTAAAAAAATTTCAATTTTTAGGAAAAAACCTAATTTTCAAATCTCAAAAATATTTGGGGAAAACATGATTTTTGTTGTTAATTTTCTTCGTATAACATTTCCTAACAATCCTCCTTTAATTTCCTAAAGAAATTCAAAGTTTTTCTTAAACCTTAGAAAATATTTCTTCCAAAAATCTTTGAGAACAAAGAAAAAATGTAAATTCTAATGCATACCTTAGTCTCCCCTTAGTCTCCTCTATGTTTTCCCCCAAGTCCCTTCGCCGGAAAAGCCGTCGAAGCTGCCGCCCGTCGCCCTTGCATTCGTCTCTCACGTCCACCTCCCCTTCGCACGGTTCGGCCAAAAGAAATAATGGGGACCGAATGAAAATTTGGTCCCCTTAAGAGGAATGAGAGTTAATATTAATTGCATAAAGTCTTAATTGCCCTCACTTGAAATATCTTCGCTTTAATATTTACTAAGTGTAGTTTAGACATTATGAAACTTCAATGATTTTAAATTTCAAATTTAGGCGAAATTTGCTAAATGTTCTTTATATCAATTTGCTTGAAATTTTGCGTAGAATTTTATAAAATTAATATATTCGAAATCTGATGACTTTGAAATTTCACTTAAATTTCATCACGACGTGTCGAGATGCTTGCAACGCTTATGATCGTCGATTTCAGGTTTTACAATTCTCTCTTCTTAATAAAAATTTCGTCATCGAAATTTAAAAACAATACAATAAATAAAAACCATACCTTAGCCAAACAAATGAGGATGGATCACCCTCACTTCTCACTCCTCACAAGTTGCATCCTTTTTAGATTCATGTTTCCATAAGACTTTAACATAAGGGATCTGTTGGTTTCGTAGTTGCTTCACACTATAATCTATGATCCTTTCAGGTTCTTCTACAAAGGTTAAGTCCGATCAAATATCCACTGATTCAGTATTGACCTTCTGAGTATTATTGTATGTCCTGGTCTCTATAGCAGATTTTTGTCCTAGAAGATGGCAAGACTTTGTCATATGTCCAGGCTGATGGCACCAGTAGCAAGTGTTAGTGCCAAAAAGGCACTCTCCCTTATGCATCCTTCCACATTTGCTGCATATTGTAGCAGCTGAAGCACTGCTGTTAGAAATGTTGTGTCTGGGCTTCTTCCAAGTAGACACTCCAGACTGAGAAGATTGAGCAGACTGAGTGGGCTTTGACCTGCCCTCAATCTTTCTTTTATGAAAGTCCCTCCTCCTCTGAGTCGCCTGTAAGTCCATCTCAATCATTCGGGCTCTTTCCACTAAAGTGGAATAGTCTTCAATCCCAATAGGTATGAGAGGCTGCCTTATTATATCCTTCAGTCCAGACAGGAAGCGGTGGCACTTTTCTTCAGCATTTGGTATCAGGTGAGGGGCATATCTAGACAGCATAGTGAACTCTGCCTCATACTGTGAAATAGAACGATCTCCTTGAACAAGTCTGTTAAACTTATCTTGCATTTGTCTCCTGAATGACATAGGTACAAACCAGTCTCTGAATACCTTCACAAACTCTCCCCAGGAGACTTGACTACTGGATTGCCCTCCAAATGTCTCTTGCAACTGGCTCCGCCACCACCTTTCTGCTTCACCATCAAAGGCATAAGCAGCAAGAGTAACCTTCTTATCCTCAGGGCAATACATGACCTCCATAATCTTCTCTATTCTCATCAACCAGTTCTCAGCCTCTAAGGGTTCACCACTTGAAAACAACGGAGGTTTCATATCTATAAACAGCTTTAAGTTCTTATCCATAGAAGTACTCCCACTGCCATTGGCCTGAGTCTGGGAATTCTTGATCATCTGAGTCATCACTGCCATCATCTGAGCAAATGACCTCATTGTGGAGTTGTTGCCATCTCCTAGAGGATCTGCTACTGTAGGTAACGCCCTCCCTGCTTCACCTACATTGCCTTCAGTGACAATAGGCTCAGGGTTCATTGTTGGTAGCTCCAACCTTTCTTTATTCCCAATGTCATCAGTGACATTTTGCTCAGGATCCATATCCCTGAGACGAAACACAACATTATAAGTTAAAAATTCATAAAATTCACACTTCCTATACATTCTAAGACCCATAAAATTATCCTATAAATAAGCATTTATTAATTGACAATTTCCACAAGAGTAGCATCTGAAAAGCAACCATCATCTCTATCAGGAATACTAGTTACAGCTATCGCAGTGTCCAAAATAGGTTAAACCTTATGAATTTCCACCAATAATTCATTTGAAAAGACATAAAAAGTAGATTAAATACCAAAATATGGCCAACAAGAAGAATGAAAATTTGCCTGAACCTCTCTATTATTTGCCATCATGATGAAAAAGAACAATTTTACTAAAAGTTTTAACAAAAAGATCCTATAATTTATCCTTTTCTTAAGACAAGGACCAATGTTTGCATTGTTTAGTGCAAGCCATGACAGATATGACGGAACTTTAACATCAAATGCTAGGATTTGAAAACCATGCAATGACGTCTGAATTATGCCTGAGCGTTTTGCAAACCTAACTACCCAAGCTACAATGCATCAATGCCATTGTTCAGGAAACCCAAATAATAATACATGTAATTAGCAAAATTATAAAACCAAGGCATCAATGACTGGATTTAAACTATCATTTTTTAGCCCATCGCCAAAAAATAACTGCCTCTACACCGTGCTCAGTCATTAGAATTTGCAAACTCAAGCACAAAATTAGTAAAAAACATGGCATCAATTACTAGGTTTCAGCCAATCATTTTTATCCCATCCTTTAAAAAAAAATTTTCATGTACACCATACTCTGTAGACACGTTGGCTGTTGTGATGTGGATGAATTTCGTAAGAATCATGGTGAAGAGAAATTCTTATTCCTTTTTCTTGGATTTCAAGAATGGTAGCATGTCGAAATTAATAGACTATTTTAAGGGAATATCAAAGGGAAAAATATATGCAGCATTTACAACAATATGCACATTTGACTCTTAACTATTTTCCTAATTGAATTTAAATTTGAATTTTAAACTATTCTTACGGGGTTGCTGATCCATGGATGCAGAATGAACTGCCGAGATTTGCTCATGAGTTGTCAAGGAATCGATATGGGGTTGCCAAGGTTCAGTCATTTATGGGCGTGAAAACAACAGGTTCAAGAGGCTGCCAACAATACTTTGAGATAGATAAGATAACATTCTGCAGAGTTCAATGTATAAGAGAGCAGTAGCAAGTGGTGTAGCAACCGTTTTATTATCTGTCAAGCATATTCGAGTAAGCAAATCCTCTGATATTGGAGTTGAGACAGAATTAAGTATTGAGAGTAGGGGTGGCTTTAACTATAAGCAAGCAAATGGTAAAAGATCCTAGAAAGAATCAATGAACAAAAGATTTGGATGAATTTCAGCATTTAGCCCTCGTCTTTGTCACCTAAACCAAAAACTCGAACTCCTACTAAGAAGAGCTGTGAAGAAAAACTAAGTCAAATGCATGCCTGGTTAACTGTTTAAGAGGTATAAAGCCCTTCTAAGAAAAGAAAATTTTAATAAAAAATAGAAATTACATAATAATAATAATAATAATAATAATAATAATAATAGAGATAATATGAAAGAAATAAATATCGCGCACCATAAGGGTAATGCATTTTGTGTTAAAGCCTATTAAAAGTGAAGAAAATACATTTTTTTAACATACCAAGCTTTGCTATACAATAAGCACGGATGATGAGCCATGCGCTATGGTGAGGAGCGTGATATTCACATGTTTAGGTGTCAGAAGTGGAGGGAGGGAGTCCTATTTAGTTGAAGAGGTTTTTTGGTGAAGGTGGTAGAGGAGACAGAGGCACAATGGTGTTGTTGTTACAGGAAGGAGTACACTCACTTTATGCTATAATTAATATAGGCATCAACCAAGGAACAACTATGATGAACTGCAATAAAAAAAATTAAAAAATAAAATAAAATTAAAAAAAATTAAAAAATTAAAAAAAAAAAAAACTATGATGAACTACAAAATAATTATAGAAAAGATCAAGCTTCTTAAGTAAAATTTACATGGTTCGGCTTAAGTAAACCTACATTGAAAAATGAAAGAGGTTTCAATCCATCAACAAAGAGGTCACAATTGTGGTGTAAAATAAAATGGTTATCAACAATTTCTTCCCAAAATTCAAGTACACCCTCGTTCAACAAAGAAAGAAAGAAGTCACAAGTCTCACAATATAAATAAGAAATAGATTAAGAGAGATGAAAAAAAAAAGAGAAATAAAAAATATAAAAAATTACCAACTTAAAAAATTCCTCCAAACAAGTACCAATAATTCATTAAGTTCTTATGAATTCCTTTTATTTTTGTATCCTTCACTCACTCTTCTCTCTCTTCTCAATTCTTTCTCAACTCCATATAAACCAAAGATTACCACATGTTTTCATATTAGTTAAGCTTCAATATGCAGACTTATATAATCACTAACCCAATGCAAAACTAGATGACTTGTGCAAAATCACCAAACATATTTTGAAAGGACAAAATGATCAAAATGATCCATTGACTCTATATGAAAGATTAAAATAGTTCTCAACTATATTAAATGATTATTTTGATCATTTTTCTTATTTTGAAGCTTCATATAAGAAGCTTGATACCTATCTCACCATATGATTCATACATGATATTAAGTCAATATCTCACAAATCTCTCCTTGATCCAATATTATGACAGAATTTAGATTTTTTTTTAAAGACTCCTCATCATGTTGAGTACAATACACAAGGGCATTAGTATCACCAAAGAGCCTAAATCATGCAACAATAATAGTAATTAAGGAAATCAACTTTTTCCTTAAATTTTATACATGCCTGACTCCAGTTAAAAAAACAATCACACTATCATATGTTATCAACTTGACAATGTTTGAACCTTCAATCTTACATAAAGAATCATTTTTCATGCAAATGCAACCCCAAAAATTTTGGCTCAAAAATGAAAAAATCTCCAAAATATAACACATGCTAACTTGAAGAACCCTAATTTCATAATTCATTATCCCTTGCGCACATCTCCATCACTCATCAAAAGAGCATCACCAATATTATAAATATTGGGTATAAACTCATGTGTATCTCCTTATTTGATTTTATGATAGAAAACTTTGTCTAATGGTTTTCTAAATGAGTATTTCATATTTTATCATTTCATAACTATTACGTTAATTAGATGATTATATTAAGCTTAATAAAAAAAATGATTACCTGGATATATGATAAAGTGTACAAGACTTGAAGTGAAGACATAGACTCCAAGATATGTTGGTAAAAGCTTAGTCGAGGAATTTTTAGCATTCAGAATATTTTATTTAATAGAATTTATCAAATAATCTTATGAATGATAAAAACATGATAATCGGATTAAAACTATTCAAAGCTTTTTCTTTAAATTATATAAAATTATACTATATTTTTTAGATTTATTAAAATTAGTTTACTATTCTTTCCATTATTTTTATTTTATTTTATTGATTATGTAATATGTTTAATATGATTTAATTTTGTGATTATATGCTTAATTAGCTAATCATTATAATGATGACATCTATAAGTTTGAGTCTTGAATTGATTCAAAATATTTCATTATGTCAAATTTTGCTTACTACAATAATTTTATCATTAATCACCTACCTAAATAAAATGAGATTTACTTAAAAATTAAAATTCTTTAATTACGTGTTTCTTAAGTTGGCAAGTTTACATAATTCACATGATTGATACATAGCATTGAATTTGCCAAAAAGAGTTAAGCTTAATTATGTTAACTAAAAATCATAAGCTTAAATCTTCTCCATTAACTAGATTAAAACTTTTTATTTTTACTTGAAACTTTTAGATTTCTTAGAGCTTATTTAATATATTTATAATTTTACCAACATATAAAAAAATCAATATTAATAAAGAAATCATAGTATAATAGATGAAATTGGGCAGACTTCACTAAAAATTAAACTTATTATGACTTTTCAAAGTATTAATTATTTCCACTAAAATTTGACTAGCCTACGCCATTAGAAGGATTTAGACTAGATGTCAGTTGTCCTTTCATTATAAATTTTCTAGCTATTTTCAAGGCATTTTAAGTAGATTTTTTTTTCTATGCTTTAGATATATTTTGAGACAATATATAAATAAGATGTTAACGAATAATGAAAAACTTATTCCAGAACTTACTTTGTTAAACCAAATTAACATATCCCAAGAGATGCATCAAGTGTTTATCCAACATCCTTCCTGCAATTCTTCATTAATGATAATATCTTTTATTTGATCTCTTAGTATCAACTATTTGTTTATTACTTTATTTTATATCTTTCATACTATATTTTTCTCCGCCATTAAGGAGGAAGTTGGAGAGACAAACTTCGAGTGTTATTGGGCGTTGGCATAGGACTATGGGTGGAGGAAGTTGGAGAGACAAACTTCGAGTGTTATTGGGCGTTGGCATAGGACTATGGGTTGATCAAATCACGTAATTATCTTAGTGTCCATAAATTTTATATATTTACTTTCTAGTACTTAGATTTCATTTTATTTATAATATTAATATTTGGAATATTAATGCAGTAAATGTTATAATTAATATTATAATAAGCTTATTTGAATAAATTTATTTAATCAAGCACAAATTATTAGAAGTAACTCGCAAAATAGTTTATTTATTTTCACCATTATTAGTAGTTTATGATTATTTGGACACTAATGTAATTTAGTTGTAGTGAATAAATTAAATAAATAGTGTAGTTAAGTTAATCAATTTGCATTGATTTTAATAGTAACTCAACTCTCTTTACCATTCATCTACAACTTAATTAAACTTATGGAATAGCACTTGTAGGATTGCATAAAAATTGTAGGATTGCATAAAAATACAAGTGAGTTTTTTAATATATTTAAGTGCAATAAATTATATGGTGTCAACTTGTTTATTCTCTATATGCACATTATGTATTTATTAATTCCTACATTTATTTATTTTT